TTCTTCGTCGATGTTGTCGATAACGGAATCCTCCCATTTACTCGCAAGGGAAGCGAAGTGGTCCCAGTTGATGGAGGTCTTGGGGCTTCGTTTCCGAAACTTCATAGCTCTCTCCCCACGCACTGAGAAGCAGAATCTAGCGCGGAGGAGACGATGGTCCGATCCCGTGTAGAACTTCGGAACAACAGCGACGTCGGTCAGGCAAAATCTCCGATTGAAGATGATGTGGTCTATTTCATTATGGAACTGTCCACCAGGTGACTCCTATGTCCATTTTAAATGAGAGGGCTTCTGGAACTGCGAGTTACCATGGATGGTGTGGGTCGTCATGATAAACTCAGACAGCCTTTCACCCTGCTCATTCCATTCCACTCCGTGAGTCACGTTGTGAAGCTCTTCAGCCGTTCTTCTGGTGCCAATCTTGGCGTTAAAATCACCGACGATGACCTTGAAGAAAGTGTGGTCTTCTCTGTAGAGCCTCTCCAGATCCATATAGAACGCTTCCTACTCCTCTTCTTCGTAGCTCGGTGTTGGTGCGTAAGCAACGCAGATGGTTAGAGCTGGGATTGAGCCACATCTTCTTAATCGCAAACGTCCGATTCGGGTTGTCAGGCTTTCGTACGAATCGATGTTCATGGCCAAGTGCGTATTGACGAGGACACCTACACCGCCGACGCCTCTACTGTCGCATGTTCCAAAGAACAGTTCATCCCCAGTCTCAAATACAGCGTGCAGCGGGCGATGCCTTCTCGTCTCGGTCGGTCCGATGACGTCGTAGCGAAAAAGGTCATCTGATTCTGTTGCTTTCATCTGTGCTACTCAATATGGGGCTATTGACTAATCATTTCATAAACGGAGTAGGGAAGAAGGAATGACAGACGTTAGCTTGCATTCCAGCTTCTACTCTATAAACTAGAGCGCAGTAAATCACTCAATTGGTCTCGATTTTTTCAATAATGGTTTGAATTGAAACTAAGGCGGTATTGCAGAAACTCAGGGTATCCCTCTTTTACATGCACTTGTTGATATCACTTATGACCTGCTTCTTGACAGTTTTTCTCAATCTTTGTGTCTTATCATTTGCTCAATCTGACATCCATGAACACTTAGGCTTTATTTCATGCACTCAATATATTCAGAGCCCGATTGACCCCGAATGAGATAGTAAGGAATGAGTAAAATACTAGGTAGGAATACTCTAACAAATGATCTATCTTATACGTGCTGAGTGACTCCCAAAAAGGTTTGCTTGTCCAAGTGGTTTGTTGGGCACAGTGATGTTCATCGCCTTGGAGTAATCATATAGCGACGGAGCTTCCAAAATTATGAACATCGTGCCCACGTTGAGCACCGAAAAAATGATCAAAAAAAGGCGATCCAATACCATTGCGACAAATGTCCAGTCGTCAGAAACCTGAAAGATAGAGGCATGATGTGAATCAGGAGTCAATTTACAAAGCAAGACTGCTCCCACGCATAGTGGGTTTAGTTAATGCCACCAACAATTTCAATTATCTATTGGCACCTCTTTCAGCAATCTCAGAGAGAGTGAGGACACTGTGAGTTCTAAATTTCCCTTACATTCACAATCTCTCAGTCATGGAGGTGGACTCGTAATCATAGTGGCTTCCTTGTATATTTCTACAGCCGTTGCTGCCTCCAGCCACAATAGTGATCACTGAAAACGGCTAGATCGCAGCATCTTCATTCAAAGAATAGTCGATCCTCGGTTCAATTGCTTGCTTGCTTGCTCGCTTGATATATTGCTTGTTTTGACACGCCTCTGGAGGACAAGATAAGCACGTGGATCAGCGTCATGCAATTCATCACGGAAAATGGTCCAACAGTTCAACTCTGTCATCTCTTTCTTTTTCTCAAGACAAGTACCTTAACAACATCGTAATCCCTACTCGTTTCCATTGAGCATGAAGAAATCCTCAACAGGGACGCCGTGTATGTTATTGGGAAAGGAGGAATGAAAAATAGCGGATTAACTAGATCAAGCAACACTGGCCTGGAAAGGAAAAAATGAAGTAGTTCTGCGAAAAAGCAGGATGTGCAAAAAGCGAAATATACGCTCCTGGAATCATTCCGCTCTCAAGGAGCGCGGTGCTATGCTGTGTCCCACTTTCATGAACTGCTAAAAGCTCTTCGATGGAGTGCCCAAGCCATCCCGCGCGCTGAGTATAACGCTGTGAAGTGGACAACTTTTGAGTGGAAGTGGAATGCATTGCACATGCAGAAGCCACTCTCATAGAGCGAGAACATTCTCCAATTTCAATAACAGATAATCGTTATGGAGTCATCTTGAGGCTTTCCAGAGCTGAGGTGTCTAAACGACACGCTGGTGCTCTACAAGGGAGCTGGTATAGTCCTCAGTTCCGTTTCGAGACATTTCGCTCTCGCGACCAAAAAAGTACACACACAAAAAGCATCAAGGTGGACACTGACAAAACATTCGTTCTATAGGTCGAAGACCTACCAGCTAGTACAGAAGGAGAAGAAGAATGCATTCATATGCAATCTGAAGATATACACTAGACTGTACGCGGAATCAAAAAATTCATGCCAGGGAAGGGTCTCACCAACATATAATGTGTGTTTGTCTCTGATGCTGGAAAATGCGGAAGTTCATGGAGTGCCTTATGTTTAATCCTATTTCGCTATCGTTTTTTTTATATTTCGGCCAGAATCATATACGTTTCTGTCGCGGAAGAGAAGGAAGTGCGGCAGATGTGATGGAATAAGAGCAAAGAACGAGCTAATAAGGTGCTCAACTTGGTCTCATTTTTGGTCATTCATGACTATTGACTCTATTTGCCGCAATGTGCTCAAAATTACAGGCATCAGATATTAACTTGACTTCAACTGATTTACCAACTTAACTACGGCTCCTAATATCATTAGCATATCAAGTCTTATTCGTGCCCCTTCTTTGCAGTCATTCGTATGCAAGATGCGGAAGGACATCATAAAATCTTTCAAAATCAAATAAAAATGACCGAGAGTAGGCTACTAAACAATACAGAGAAGCAGAATCTATCAATGACGAACCAGGAGAGAATGGAAAAAGGGTTTCCAAAAATAAGATTAATTACGCAGTCCGTTAGTGGGTCGATTGCAAGCCCGGCTGACCCATTGAAAGGATGGCGGCAGAGCAGGAGTAATCTAAGTTTCCGGTGGACGAATGTCAAGCTGAAGCTTCATTGCCAATTCTAGTGTATGCATGCAGAAACGCCACTTTGTCCTCGATCGCTATAAAAAGAGTATGGTCAGGAAATGCAGAATGCTGAATTCAAACACCCATCCTCTTATCGTTTTCTTAGAAACTTCACGACAAAGTCAGTATTGAACAAATATTGAAACGATAGTGCTCCGGATGGGAATACTTGAAGTGTAATCACATATGAAAAAGTTGTAATAGGACCAGGTGGACAATTTCTACAGAGGAAGTCACAGGCAACGCTAAGATGCCGTTGGTTTTGCCGGTGTTGTCGTGGAAATTGGCGAGGAAGTATACTCAATGCGTACTATTAGCCGTACTGAGGCATCTACCCGACTTCGCCTCTTGGAATAGCCCTTGGTCATGGACATGGAGACGTTAGCGTGGCGAACTCATCGAGCGAAGTCCCTTTGAGCGCCATCCATTTTGAAGAAGCTATTGCGACCTCGCGAACATTGCTCTCGGAAGCAACTGTAATCAAGAGAAACCCTGTCATGATTGCAGAATAGTCACTCACGAGCAGCCCTTGAAGCTTTGTTGGAACATAATTCAAGAGCTTTAACACGGGAATCAGGCATGTAACAGAGATAAAGCGGCCGAGGTGATTTGGGAAAGTCAAGGAGGTGAAGAATCGGGTTCCGCATTTAATGACGAAAGAGCAATAGTTTGCTGTCATTTTACCAATTGCATTTGTTTCCGTGCCAGTTAAATGATTTTTACTGGTATTAATAACTGCTGATGGTAAGTGGCTGGTGCGTAAAGGACATCACCAGCAAACTCCTCTGAATTAAGCACACACTCAAAAAATTAGTGATAAATGTGTCCAATAGTTCCATTTTGGCAGCATCCATGGTAGCCTATCACAGCCGAGCAGGCTATCTCATCAGAACCGTACTACAGAAAAGACCAAGTGAGGTGCTGTAAGAATTACTTCGAAACAACCCAAAAAGCTAGCACATGCAGATGAAAGCCCACTCTACTCATTTCTACTAGCATGCATCATTTTTTGAGTTCATCGAAACCCGCAACCCTTCTTTGCCTATTTAAAATGTGAGCTCTCTGTAAGAAAACATTTGCAATTAGAAGCTGGTAATCTTCTTCCTTAGAGCAATTGTCTGGAAAGTGACAGCTATATATTCATTCCAAAGCAATTAAGCGAGTGGTTTAGAGAGTGTGCCAAAGTTTGGATTGAGAAAAAAAGAGTTTGATCCTTGTCGAGGCATAAACCATGATTACTAGACTAGAGGTGACTTCTTGCAAGCCCTTACTTAGTTCTTTCAAGTTCCTGTAGCACGGCTCTGATGAACTAGTCTGCTTGGTTGTGAGAGACTATAGTGGATACTGCCATAATCGAGCTATTAACATATCACATTATTCCTTTTTTGAGTGTGTGCCCAATTTAGGAGAAGTTTCTGACGGCGAGTTTTACGCGCCACACCAGCCTCTCCTAAATTGGGCACACACTCGAAACGTGGGAGCCACTAACGTCTCTATTTGTCCCTGTCGCGAGCCAAAGTGGTCTCTTGGATCGTCCTCGCTCGAGGATTATGGGGCATTACATTCCTTCCATTCAATGCTTTCGTGATGCAGTCTTACCAACGCTTGAAGTCTGACCGTCGAAATTTTGGTATTGGATTGATGCCAACTTATGCGGATTTCCG